TTTATTAGTACACACAAAACACAACTTTGTTTTTCATGTATTTGTCACGTGCCTATGCAGAAGGACTTTGAGGATGTGAAAATCAGTAGGATTCATTGTTTTGGACCCATTGATATTTGCATTAGATTTTACCAAAAGCCAAAAGCTAGAAAGTCTACAAAATAAATGGGACAGAATAGAAATACTAAAAGGGAGTCTAAGATCTGTGCAAACATTTTTTACGTTGTCACAGGTCTTAGTCTTGTTTAAAGACTAAGACCTGTGGATTTACTTTTGAGGCATTACAAAAGTCATAGTCAACAGATATTGCAATTCATTGGCTAAAGAGCCAAGACAAAAAATGAGAGAGACACAACCAAAGATTTTCAGTTTGTTAACCAAATGAACCTTAAACAGTAATTAACTTTATGAGGTGGGATAGTTTTTGTTTGTGTGTCAGCAGTTATATGAGTGATCGAATGTTAGGTGTAAGCAAGACAGAAGGCCATCACTGTCCATTTGCTTCCGCTTATCCTTTTCAGGGTCGCAGGATCCTATCCCAGCTGTCATAGGGCAAGAGACGACCCTGGACAGGTTGCAGGACTAACACACAGAGACAGACAACCAGTCACATTCACACCTATGGGCAATTTAGATTGTTCAATTAACCTATCCCCACAAAGTGCATGTCTTTGGAAGGAAGCCGGAGTACCCAGGGAGAACCCACACAAACACAGGGAGAACATGCAAACTCCACACAGAAAGACCCCGGCCTGATGGTAGAATTGAACTCAGGACCTTCTTGCTGTGAGGCAACAGTGCTAACTACCGTGCCACCGTGCTGCCTATATTTATACATAAAGAAGTTGGCATTAACCACAACAGAAACACTGTCACCTAAACAAAACCGACCAAAACTTTAAGCATGGAAAGATGTGATATTGTTATTTCTATGTTAAATGTTATGTTAAATTGTTATTTCTATGTCAAATCATCTAAGACTACGATTATTTCATTTTTAAATATTTTCTGAGATGCTGTAATGGAGCAGAACCATTAGATCATTCGTTGTGATTACACCAATGTTTACATATGGTACACTTCACTGATTACTGAGCTCTTGCTGTCTACACTCTTTGACAGCAGGCACTTTGATATGAAATTTGAGTATCAAAGAAGTGTTTCTGAGGAGCTCTGTCTTTTGGTAAAATAAACAGTTTAAAAAAACATCTTTGATTAGGTCTGTCATGAGCATCTGACATATACACAATCACTCGGGATTAAATACCCGCGCCTGTGACAAAGCATTTCGCCCCTAGAGGGTGCTATAATTAAAAGCAAAGCTTCGCACACGTCTGAACAATTATAAAAAAAAAAACAACCTCAACGGGTGTAAAAGAAGAAAAATACAGATTAGAATCCAGATCAAAATGAAATAATCCATAATTCAATCACTGAAGTGGAAGAATTCACACACTGTATACAAAAAGAATGAATTCTGCTGCTCATAGTTTCATACCATGAAAAATATACAACACAGACCTGGCTAATACAAAAACTAAACTAAAAAGAGTTAATTGTTTTTTTTGTTGTTTTTTTTAAAAGGTTTGTTTTTATTTGAATAACTGTAGTGATTTTCCTAAACCTTGCATCTGGCATATGTCCTTCATACAACAAGAGACTAAAACTAACACTTAATCTATTAAAAACTAAACTAAACATTTGGAAGCAATAAACAAAACCTGAAACTAAACTAAATTAAAAACAATACGTCAATATGAAATAAAAATGAAAACTAATTAGGAAATACATAACTATATTAAGTATTGAAAGCATTTAGAGCCAGGCAACAATTCCTTTTCTTCTTCTTCTTCTTCTTCTTCTTCTTCTTCTTCTTTGATGAGCAATAAAATAGGTTGTACGTAAATACAAGTATTAGACTTTACATGAATTAAGCTCAATTTCTATTTGGGTAGAGAGCATTAACAAAAATGACTATAACTGCGTTTTGTGTTTTATTTATTATTATTATTATTATTATTATTATTATTATGAAAAACGTACCTTGATACATTTTTATGATTGTTGTTTTACATGTTTGTTTGTTTGTTTTCACGGCTTTTTGAGGACCATTTTTATCAAAACTTTTACTAAATATGACGCACATAGAAAGCATGAATTTAACATAATCTGTAGCACATACTAGAGGTAGTAATAGAGGTTTTGTTTTCGTTTCTTTTTACACACGTCGCTGTGTAATGGGCTGAAGTTCACATATCCCAGAATCCTCCGCGGGCCTCTCACCCCCTCTTAGTTTTTGCATCCGGGTCTGAACTTCCTTTTCCTCTGTGCCTAGATGCGATGAGGACCTAGGTTTTCCCGGACCTCTGAAAAATCCGAATCCATCCTTGCAAAAGGCACCACCGAACCTCGCCAAAATGACCGAGCAGATGACAGTGAGGGGGACCCTGAAGGGGCACAGTGGATGGGTCACCCAGATCGCCACTACGCCCCAGTACCCCGATATGATCCTGTCGGCGTCCCGAGGTGAGGCTTCCCCCGCCGGTTGCGCCAACATGGCTCAGATAGCATTATTAAGCTAGCTGCTGCCGCTGTAATGTGAGGCAGATTCTTAAACTGGTGTGTAAGGAGCAGATAAAACATGAGTAACCACGTAATATTAGATAAAGAGGGCTCAAACTTTTACATAAAAAAGGTCCTAACTAGCTGGAAAGAAGCAGGTTAGCTAAGCTCGCTAGCGCTATCTGTCGTCATCTGTAACAGACCCGTTGATGTCCATACTTGTTAGGAGGGTTATAGCACGTTTAGTTACCTGAATAAATGTAATTATTTAGCAACAAAACCCTCCTAACCTTCGTAGACTGAGCCCGTGGATCCGAAGTTTAACAGGTGTGCATGTAGTGCTAGCAATCGATGCATGCTGATGCTTAAATTATTCGTTTCCTGAATGAATATTGGACGTTGAGACATGAAAACGTGTTGCTTTTTTTCAGACAAGTCCATCATCATGTGGAAACTTACCCGTGATGAAACCAACTACGGTATCCCCCAGCGTTCCCTGAAGGGTCACTCTCACTTTGTGAGTGATGTTGTGATCTCCTCTGATGGACAGTTTGCCCTGTCCGGAGCCTGGGACGGGACCCTCCGCCTGTGGGATCTCACCACGTAAGTGCAGGGAGTCTTTACCCCTGGGCAGATGTTTAGAAGTACAGGTGAAAAGCCAAGTCTTCAAAATGACATTTGATTTTTTATGAATCACTTGAGTTTGAAGAGGCCTAGTGCTAGTTTCTCAGATCTGTTATATGCCAAAAATAGTCTTACAAATGAAGTGTTTTCTTAGTTAGTTTCAGAATATCAAATTGTTCTCTATGCCATCAGTACATGAGATCTGATACCAACAAAGCCTAAGTTGTCTAGATCAGGTCACACTGACTTTTCAGCAGTCTGATCGACC